AAAAAAAAAAAAAAAAATGTGTAGAGCACAATCTCAAGGCCCCCAACATCTCTGTAACACTAGCAAATCAGAAAATGCCAACTGGTATTGGTGTTTCTTGATGGCAGAAATTACTTTGAAACGGTGGAAAATGCTATTAGGAGAGATTATTGATTTCACAGATAAGGGAGAAACAAGTTCTGACAACATGTATGCAAGCTGCAGTGCTGCTGCAGTCTCATTGCCATAGTGATGCCTACTGAGGTAGTGAAGCTGAAGAGGCTACAGCCTGAGGGCGATGTCAAGACATCGGCTCTCCAGTGGTGGAAAGTAACTAAGTACATTTACTCAAGTAGTGTACTTAAGTGCTGGTGGAAAAGTCAAAAGATAACCGGGGTATGAGCTCATTAAAACTAGCCCCCCTTTACCTGCTGCAACATTAAGTGTGATGAACATAATAATGCACCAGTAAATATAATCCAATAATATATTTATTAATGTTAAATGTGCCATTCTGCACTGTGGCTTTCTATATCACTCAACTCTCCCTGGGGTCTGCAGACCATTAAGAGCCCCTTGGCACATGGATGCTGAAACTAGAGAAGCACTTTGAGAATCAGTTTTATTGTAATAGCTTCTATAGTTATTTGGTATTGTACAGTTTAAGCAGCTTTGTTTGTTCCAGGACATCTCAAGAGGACGTGATCATTTTGGATTCAGGACGAAGTTGATTGTCTGTCTTTAATAATTAAAACATTCATCCATTTTTTATCAACCCACATTAGGTGGAGATTTTGCTGTATAAACACACTCTGCACTCTGAACACATTCACTGGTAGCACTAACTGTAACAGTGAGCAGAGAAAAATCTCTAGAGGCTCTGTCAAACTGGAAATGACTTGAGGAGGAAAAGAAAAACACCGGAAGTTAGCAGCATCTGAAATGCATCTCCCATTCATCGAAAACACTCAGTGTCTGCGTGAAGACACTATACCACCAGGTATATAGGGAACAGGATCTACTGCCTGGTCTCCTCATACAGTATGTCAGCTGGATCATTACAGTGTCCCTGGAGAGTTTAAAGCACAGCTGTGGAAGAGAAGAGATGTACAACTTTCAAATGGAATACATTAATACTGAAACAAAAAGGGTGCAGTTTGGCCTACATTGATAGATAGCGGGACAGCATGGTGTCGCAGTGGTTAACGCTGTTGCCTCACAGCAAGATGGTTCTGTGTTCAAGCCCCTGCTGATCTGGGGCCCCTCTGTGTGGAGTTTGTATGTTCTCCCTCTGCCTGTGTGCAGCTAAGGTTGACCGACGACTCTAAATTGCCCATCGGAGTGAGTGTGGTGGTCTGTCTCTAAGTGTCGGCCCCGTGATAGACTGGTGACCTGTCCAGGTTGTACCCTGCCTTTTGCCCAGTGTTAACTGGGATTGTCCCCCCCTGACCCTCCTTAGGACTTGCAGTATAGATAATGGATGGATGGTAGAAGGCATTCAAGAAAGGGAGTGAGAAAGCAATGTGACTGAATTTGTGTTTTTTTTTCTAGGAACACTAGTGTGGTTACTCTGGATAATCTGCTAATCTAACAAGAGTTTAAGGGACAATAAAAATAGTTTCATGAAAACGCAGAAATCCTATAGCTACATTCATACTATATTTGTCTGTGAACAGAATTTTAGGGTGACAACATCGTCTAGGATTAGGATGAGGCTAGGTTAAGTGTTAGGATAAGTCTACAGGAAATGAATGTAATTCAATGTAAAGTCCCCACAAGGAATGAAAACACAGCATATGTGTGTGTGTGTGTGTGTGTGTGTGTGTGTGTGTGTGTGTGTGTGTATATA